TATAGCCTCTCTTTAATACGGTCTGTGGTAAATATTCTTTTCAAGCCTTTCCTCTGCTCTCCCTGCCTATTTTCAGTATCAGACTTTGTTATCACAGCATGACCATGAATTTGGTTTCTTGTCAGTTTATAAATCCCAGGTCTCACTTAGTCACTGTCTAGCTGGGTTTTAAAAGTATTAGAAATAGTAACATTTTGTTTAAATGGTCTGTGCTTTCAAAACTATCAATACTCTTCTATAAGCCTGTCCTCTTTCATGTTTCCTGTTGCCTTGTTCTCTGTGCCATCTGTAAAAGCTTTTGGTAATGATCACTCTTCAAAGTTGTGATGGATATGTCACGTTTGAACTAACACTGCAGAACTGATCAAAATTCCCTCCATCCAGTGAGGTAAGGCTAAATGCTCTTTGAAATCTGTGATGAATTGCTATCAATTCATTTGATGCCTCTCTGCTGGCAGTAGTAAGCTGTCAGATTTTTGATTAGCAAAGAAAAGGTTAAAAGTCTTAAACTTCACAAAATATAGTACAGTTCACCCTTTGCAGTTAGCAGCCAAAACCTTTTATTTTTGATAAAAGAATGAAATCATTCAAACTGCCAGCAATAGGGAGCAGGTAATTCAGTTAGGTTGACTCTTCTGGAGCCTAAATTTTCGTTTCAGAACATTATTTTTTCCAAATATAATTTAATAGAATTAGGACAATAATTTAAAGCAATTTAACAAGTGATCTTTTGATGGTATCAAAATATATTATTAGTTTAAACCAATTTATTTAATCAATTTCATTGTTATGTACTTTATAAAAAATATATTTTCATTTTGTTTGGAATGAATTATGAAGAAATTTTAAAAATAATCTGGAAAAGAGTCAATTTTATATGGCATTTCTTAATACACTCTTCCCATTATGTAAAATGCTGTTCAGTTCAATTAATATAAGAACAAAAATGTATCAGTGGTAAAACATTTTCTTCAACATTAGACTAAGCAGAGAATTATAAGGTTTCTCTTTTCCCTTAGGAATCAATCTACATATCTGTCTTCTTAAAAATTCTTGAATGTAGAAAATTATTCAGTTCACTGAAAGGTTGAAAGATAATTTTGAAAGAAATACAGGATTGGCTCTTTGGGATCCAGTTGATATCAGTTTGTTTCAGTAAATTACTTCAGGAACAATGGCAGTAAGATAAATACATACAAAAAGTGCATCTGGAGAGGGTAAGAGAGAGCATCTCCCAGAGTTTTGTCAGAATATGTTTATGGTTTTGATAGGGGCAAATCCTAGTTAAAGCTGTAATTTTAGTCAGGAGATTTTCTTCCCTACAGCTGTCACAAGAAACTACCATCTTGCTTACAGCCAGAACTAAATTTGAAAGAAAAAAATCATGAGGTAAGAGGAATGGAGAAAAAAGCCTTTTTGTTTCCAAAGATAAACAGGGGATTTTATCCCCTTCAGCCAGCTATTGTACCTCCAGAAATACCTTATGATACCTCCAAAGTAAAGATAGTCTCAAAAGAAAAATTTTGGGGTTGAGGTAGATTCTGGTAAGGCCAAGAACCACACAACTGTAGAACTTTCCTCAGGTGAGGTCAGACAACTTGAGCAGGTATCTGCAAACCCATTTCATGTTTCCCCTCCTCCTCTGCAGGGGAGGACTGCGCTTCCCGCACAGTGCCTGTATTTCCCACCACTACAAGAGGCAATGTGAACCTTTTTTTACTCTTCTTTTTCTCTTACTGCCTCCCCAGGACAGGCAGCATCCATAGGCCAGCATTACACCCCAGGTGCCATGGCTTGGCAGGGAGTGTCCATCGTCCCAGCTGACAGCAGAGCCCCTTGGGATGGTGCGCGTGCTGCACAGCTGATCCAAACATGGGGAGATTTCCTGCAAACCACCCACACTGGGACAGCCAAGTGCCATGGGCAGGAAGAGTGCCAGTCCACTGTCTACTCAACACAGAGCTTTTTCTGCACATTAAAAAGGATCATTCAAGTGTGTCTGAGGAGCCCAGGGTCTTTACAATAGACCTGGTCTTGCTCCGTTATAAGCTTTAGTGGTTAGACTTTGGCTTTTAAATCTAGCTTTTGCTGTGTGTTTAATGACAGTGAATGTCAGGAGCTCTATTTTACATGTGAGAAAACCATGAAGTGACCCCATCAGGACAGGAAAAAGTATTGAAGCTTGATAGAGAAGAATCCAGGTCTACTGATAAATGGTTTAAGAAGCCATGCTGTCAACACTGTACTAAAGGACCGTTCCCAGTCAGACTTCAGCACAAATCTCTCCTCACAGGAGCTGTATCAAACTCAGATACTGAGTCAGGAGTTGTACATGTGATTGAAGTGGCATTCTCTTGTTATGTTTCCCCTGAGGAAACTCTGAGCTTTCCCTCTCAGCAGAAAAACACCCCACCAGACCTGTAAGAGATTTCATTCACCCAGCACTCCATGCACAAGCTGCTGAGCTGCTGACTCACTGGTGTCCATGAGCTTCTTTAGCAGCCCTTATGCAGAAGTACCAAAACCAGTCCTGTAGTGGTATTAAAGCAAGGAATTGGCCTAGGCCTGCCAATACCACAGGCTATGGCTGAATTTGAGCCTGTCTCTGAGGCATTTCAAAATTCCCAAGTCTCCTAAATCTACCAGAGTATTGACATTTCAACACTTTGGTTGCAAGTCTTAGAACACAGGGGGGTCCTTTTTTTGTCACCCAAAAAGTGACCCAAAAAGTGATCCAGTGTCAGGCCTAGAGTGTCAGGCAGTTGGGCTAGATAATTGTTATAATAATTCCAGTGGAACTATTCTAACAATATTAGACATTTAAATGACCAAAGGGAGGAGTCATGCCTGCCTTGCCTGCCTGTCCAGAGGAGGTTAGGCGGAGGAGAGCAAATCTGGAATTCAGAGTTGAGACGCAGCAGCAGCAAAGGGCTTCAGACAAAGTCTGTACTCAGCTGGAAGGTAAAAAAGAGCCTCAGTATAACCCCATCCCACTTAGAGCTGTGGCACGTGGAGGGGGGGTATTGTGGGATGGCTGGGGGATAGGATCTGCCTCTCCCTTACCATCTTCTTTCACAAACTTCCCATGGACCTTGTCTTTCCTCACAAAGGACATCACTGCAAGGTGCATTGTTTATGGGTCATTAAAATCCTTCCTGAGACACAATCATGCAGAGAGTATATGTGAAGAAAAAATGAAAGGACATGAGAGGTTTGGAAAAAATGAAGAAAATAAATCTCTTGCACAAACATTGGAAATATTTCAAGACCATACGAAAATTTAAAACTGTTGGCTTGTGTATGCCTGCACTTCAGCTAATGATTCTATCAGTGTTTAAAGCATTTGCCACACATAAAACCTATGGGAGAAATAAAAGGGAAAAAAAAAGAAAATACCAATGGATGTTTTGTCATATTTATTTATTTTTTTACCATGTAACCGAGAGATGGGCCAAGAGAAAATTCAAGGAAAGGCTAATGTAGGAACTAGAAGGAAAGTGAGCAATAGCTATCTAGAGCCTTACAAAAATAGTCTTAGGAGGATAGCAGAAGGAGAGAAAAAAGCAAATATATATGCACCAGTATAATCCATACATGCTAACTTCTAGGGCTAAGTTTGGATTTATTTCCACTGCCCAGGCCAGTTAATCAGCTGTCTTTGTTACTGACTGATGGCTTAGAAAATCTCTGCCTTTGCAGCTGTGTGACTGTCAAGTATGGACTCTCCCTTCTTGAAAGAGAAATACAAAAAGAAATTAAATCTCTACCCTGAATGAAGGGCAAAAGGGCATGTAGGGGTATAAAAATCTCAACATCACAAAACTGGAGCCAACCACTTTTTCTAAACTGACGACAGGCATCTCTTTTTATTGCACTGAATAGTAAATTTATTTTCATTATTCAAGAGTATTCACCTGATTATAACTCATCTTTTTGAAATACCTTATCAACAGCTTCAGTGTTCCTCATAATTTCCCCTTGCAACAAGTCTGACAGTTACTTTATCATTCTGCAATTGCTTGACCCTTATCATGCAACCCTTACAAAAGAGAATCCCTTTTAATACCTCCTTTTTTTTTCCATGTACAAGCTGATTTCATTGCAGCAATGAATACTCCATAGTTCTGGGATTTTTTTTCCCAGAAACTTTATCAGAATTCAAATAGGCTGTGGAGAAAGAGTCCAAAAAGTTACATTATTTCAGTGCCCTGGATTGTTCATTATTACCCTGCTAAACAGCACTGATCAAGCATGCTTACAGATTGCAAATGAAAATGACAAAGAGAGGAAGCACAATGCAAACTAAAATATTCACCGATGCACAAGTGTAAGTGCAAGCATAAGTGTCAGTGCATTTCACCAAGTGGTTTAGTTTGAAACCTTCACTAACACAGACACAGAGCTTTCTCCTCTTTCCTGAAAAATAATGGAAAAGATATTTCAGCACTTTCTCTGCTTTCTTCAATTCAACACCAACAACTGGAGTTAAACAGTGCTAAACAGAGAAAAAACATCCCTTGCTTTACATTAAGCTGTTCTTCTTTATAATTTCCTGGCTTTCCCTCCTCTCTTGTTAAAGAAAACATTAGGTGCCCAGGCAGAGATGTATCAGTGTCCACATGACAGGACACATCAGCTGTCCTTCGGGGTCTCCTTACAATAGAAATAAAAGCTGCCTTGTAGAAGTATCCTTCTTTCACTCGAGCTTTTTCTCTCTCGGATGCCAGCAGCATCTCATCCCTAGAGGGCAGCCAATGAACACAGCTCCAGGCACAAGCGCTTTCCCTCAGGCTGCAGGATTTATCACATTTAACCAGCTTGTCCCTTCTCTCTCTAACACAAGTGCAGGAAAACCACTGTGATTGAAAAACTTTGGGTCATTTCAGTTGCTTTTTTCCAGCTCCTCACGGTAGGAAGCAAAATCCACCCCCCTCCCCCACCCTGCCAAACTTAGGGACTGTCTTTTGCACCTCTTCCAACCGGTACCCAGAACCTCTTACCTTATGATGACAAACATGACCAGGGAGTTTCCCACCAAGCCGACAACGAAGACCACCGAGTAGACAGCAGTGATGATGATGGGAATGGCGGGGGAGATGCTGGTGTGGTTGTGCTGGCCGTCCCCAAAGACCCCAGTGGCATTGCTGTCATAGTCTGCCCAGCCCGGGAGCCAGCTGCTGCTGGTGCTGGGGGGCCGGCAGGGCCCTGGGGAGCAGGTGGAGTCTGGCTCCTCACGGAAAATCTGTATGGGGGCATCCATAGGGGTACAGTCCCCAGGAGGGAGGGAGGGAGACCAGGAGGGATGCACACAGAAGGAGGCAAGTATGCTGGAAAGAGGGAAGAGAGAGAAAGAAAGTATTTTTACAGACACAGAACATTAAGACCTCTGAAACTTTTATGTGTTAAGGGGAGCTCTGCTCTGATAGGGACTGTAATTTTCCAAGCAGAGTTTTAAATAAATTACATTCATATTAAATGATTTCAAGTTTTACATCTTGCTATGTAATGCTGCTTCTCCAAGTGCACAAGGAAAGTTTTCCCCTACTTTCAAAGGTTGCATAGTGAAGCAAACCAGATGGGAACAGCTCTGATCCACTCCCACACTTTAACCCTCTCTTTCCCATCTTCCATATTTTAAGTCAAACTCTATCCTAACAAGGGCTCCTCATTGCCTAAGCTCTGCTATAAAGGGGAAGGAAACAGAGAAACCCACAACCTCTCTGCGCATCTGCTTTATCATCCTGCCCTGATTTATTTTTCCCTGATCCCATACCTGCTTTCATAGAAAAGACACATTAATGACAAAAAAATACCTTTCAGTCCAGGAAAAGAAGCGGAGTCCTCAAACAGGTGCTCTTTGCAGGAAAAGAAAATAATAAAGCCGCTGTGCTTGGCTCCTGGGAGTGCCACTGACCACCTAGGACTTTTGAATGTGAGGCACCTGCGCCCTCAGAGAGGCGTGCTGGCAGCAGAGCCGGCTCCCAGGCTGGAGCCGCGCCGTGCAGCAGCAGCTGCTGCTGCTGTTCCAGCTCCCACCGCTTCGCCTTTTCTCTCTCAGGCTCCCTCTGCCTCCCTCTCCCTCTGCCAGGGCTCCAGCAGCACTCTGCACTGCTGCACACGTTCTCCACCGTCTCTGTCCCTGCAGCTCAGACGTTCACATGACTTCTTTCTAAACACTAAGATGCAGATAAATTTTTTAAAAAGCAAGAAATAAGTTCTGTTATGAATGAATGCTTATTTTAATACACTTCTCCAAGTTTTCTTTCCTCAATTCTCCTACACTCCCAGGCCTCAGGAAATAATCCACTTTGCCTTATTGAATCCCACAGAATTTCAGACTAGTAGACACTGAATAAAAGAGGAATTTTAAGTTTAGATGCCTTGCCTGGTCCATCAGCTCTTTCATACCTTGACTCCACAACTGTGTGTCCAAAACATTTCTCACTGGGTAGCTGTGTCCCTGTTCCCTTGCACCTGCAACTCCAACGTCAGAAGCTGGCTACCAAAGAAAAGAGGGGCACCCTAATTACTGTACAGATCTTTTCAAGCTGTCCCAGACCATGTGAGAAGCCCAGAATTCCCTGTAGCACTTCATTCTCCCTGCTGCAGCCAGAAATGGGGAAGTGCTGTGTACAGAAATCACATCCCTCAGAGCTTATCCCTAATATACTCTCTCAAGCAGGAGTTGTCAAGGCACCAATATGTGTATTCAAGTATCTTTAACTTGCACACAGACCTCGAAATCCCCACCAGAACTCTCTCTAAATGGCAAACTGGAAGAGAAGAAGCAAGACCCTGAGTTATTCCTAGTCCTTCGGAAGAGGCTGGGAACAGCCAGACTGGCTGCATCTCAAAGTGTGCAGCAGGAAAACCAGTCTCTGGAGAAAGAGAGAAGCTGTGGGTTTCCTTCAAGCTTTTCAATCTTGAAACTTTATTTCATGCTTCTCCTGTTGAGTGTCTGTGATAGACTGAGTTTTCTATTCTAAACCAATTTTTTTTCTAAACCTATAATCAAGAGACTAAATTATGTCAGCTGAGTGAAAAATCATGTAGGAGGCTTAAAAGGTACAGAACCCCCTCTCAGAGGAAAAGGCTTGTTCAAATGTGATAATGGCTTTGACTCTGGTCACTGTTTTCTCTAGAACTTCAGTAACTTCTCATGATCATGTGTATAGAGCTGTCTAAAAGTTTCACTTTTAATGGTGATGGATAAAAATGCAAAATAACTTATGTGTGACAGAAATGTCCCTGCAACAGGGACACAAATATAAGAAGTAATCATTTTTTTGAAGATGAAGTAGATGCTAACATTAAATGTACTCCAATTCTGGTTTTATCCTCTGCAATCCATGGTCTCCTGCTCATGTACTGAAGGGAGCTACTGTTGCTGTATCATCTCATAAATAATTTTACTGTCAATTTTCAACTTCTTATTAGCATCTTCCCCAGAATTTTCCACATTCTGCAATTAAAATATACAGGACAGATTTAAAATAGCAATGTTTTAGCACACATTGATAATTTAGCTCTTATGAGCAATCATTTTGTCACTCTGCAATTGCTACAGGTGGATCCAAAACTTCTATATGGGGAAGGAAACCTATTATTGCTCTGAGTAAATCTACAGCACAGATAATATAAAAAAGTAAGATAAATAGCAGACTCTCAGCTTTTTGAAGCACCAATGGTTGGACAGTAATCTGCTCATTCTCTAACTACATTCTGTGCTGAAACTCTCCATGGATCTTAGAGTTAGCACAAAAAAAAAGATGTGCTTACAGTTGTAGTCACTGGCCCTCCATGGAGTTTGCCATGTAACTACATGGGACTGGAAGGAGGTGGAGTTTGACCACAACACTGCAAATCACAGGTTGAGCCAGAGGCAATGTTTAAGTTGCTGGATGCTTTTTGTTTATGTGTGTTCCATGTTGGAGACCCAGTTTTGGCTCCTGGTTGCTGTAGGACCTTATGAAACAGTAGAAAGAAAGTACTTAGCTAAGTTGTTGGGTTGTCTTCTGAAAGTCAAATCAAAATCATATGCACTGTTAAAAATAATCTTTTCCTTTCTTGCGCTGACTTTGCAAATGAAAACCTGAATATCAGGATTATCAGCAGCAACTGGTGTCGCTGCAGGTACCAGGAACAACCACCACGATATCAAAAGGAAAACTAAAGGCAGAGGGAGAACAAGTGTGCATCTTCCTCTCCTTTAACACCTGCCTGCACAGTGCCTCTGCACCCTTCCCAGCAGTCCCGTGGAAAAGGGCAGAATCTCCTGGAGTCCTGGGCAGAGAAAGGCAGGGTGACCTAACCCAGACTGCCCACACACCAATGCCAGAAACCCCTGTTCCCTCTAAGAGCTTACATCAGACAAAAGGCCCCGCTTTCAAAGGAAAGTAAGGAAATATTTAGAGAAGAAAGACAGCATAAAATAACCATTGTCTCACTGCTCAGCTGCCATTTTCCTCCGGTAATGTTCTTACAAACACGTGGCTTGCATGATCCCCAGCTTTTTGATGTAATACTTTAGACCCAATAGTGTTCACCTCACTGGACTTTGGGAAACACAATAGAAACCACTTGGACTTTTTAAATTAAGAATATAAAGCTATATATTAAAATCCACAATTATAGAAAATTGTTTAAGTTATAAATTCCAGCTCTCAAAAGTGAAAAAAAACATCACATTCAGTTGCCTGATACCTAGGAACTACCACATGTGCATTTACACAAATTTTTACTTTCTCCAGGCTCTCTGCCTCAATCAAAAACCAGCTACACAACATTGCTAAATGTAAGTGGACGGGCAAATATAAACTGGGAATTTTGTATCTATGAAGCACTTTCTTTTACCATCTTAGTGAAATTCTTTGAATGAATAAGAAATCTGGGGGGAGGGAAATATGTGATATTTAACAATAGCAGGAAGAGCTTCAGCACTGTCTTTTTTCTTACCAAAAGCTAAAAAGCTGCCCCCGTCAGCACAGTGTTTTAAAACCTTAAAGATGTGGTGGGACATTAATTCAGCCCTGACTCAGAGGTAAGAATGAACCACCTTGAATCACAGGCATGACTCTGTGCAGCACTGTGCCATCTGCTCACTGTGCTGCAGCATCCAGCTCCATCACCTCAGCACACTCAGGCTTTGAGTGAATACTATTAAATTCCTGACATTGTTTTCTAGAAAACCATGACACTTTATGGGTTTCAGTCAAATGCACAGGGTAGGACAGACCTTGAGGTTCAGCCATGAACTGTAACACTGGACACTTTGGAACAGATCATTTCCAGAGATCATCTGCTATTCTAGAGGCTGGAGAAGAGACCACATGAGTTAAGTGGAGCACACTATCAAGATGTTTCTTCAGCTAATATTTGTTTTTACTACATGATTAACCAAAGGTTACAATACTAGTGAGCCTGTGTAAAGGTAGGAGATGCTGGAAACACTTTCTGATGGCTCCAGTTGCCAAGGAAACAAAGTTCTCTTGTCTCTCTGCATCCACAAATGTTAGCTCTCTGTGTGAACAAAGCTTTTGGGAAATTGTGTGTTCTATGCTCTTCAAAAGACCTGCAAGAGAGAGGAACGGGCAAAAGAGAGATGAGAAAGTATATGCAATGCTACTCAAACAGCTTTTGTACACATATTTTGCTCACAGCAGACTAAACATTCATCATGAGATTTGTGCTTTGCTTTTACTTGTCAATAACAGAAGTTCATGTTACATATAGAAAAAAATTACTGGTACAGACCTCCACTGTGACCTTCAGAAACCAGCCCAATAAGAGCACTGGGACAGCTTCTGTCCCAAGGCAAGTCCTCCTTCCACAGAAAAGTCCCTGGGTGGTCATGGAGACACCAAGCATGCTCAAACTGCTGGCTGCAGGGAGGGACTGGAGTAGGCATTGAAAGGTTTCTGACTCTAGGACTGTAAAAACAAGGGTAGTTATACAGAGAAGAGCTAATTGACAGCAGAGCTCAGTGGCTGGGTTTAAGGAGTTCAGGAGATCCCAGCAGGAGGACATCTGCCTTGTTCTGCTGTCACCCTGCCTCCCCCCAGCAGCCCTTCTGTCCCCAGCTGGCCATGGCACACATGCCAGGTCCCTGGAGCAGAGGCAGAATTGTCAAAACAGGTCACCACTTTGCCATCTTCCCTGCATTTCATTTCCTCAAGATCCTCAGCTGGAAGTTTTATAACTTCTCACTTTTATGTAACAGGCTAGAGCTCTGACTCCAGAGGAAACAGAAGGATGATTAAAGGCCATAAATTTGAGCTACAGAACCACTTTTAAGACTTCTCTTTAAAGAGAAAATTGTGGTATGCTTCAGATATCTATATAAGGATACATATATCTGCTCTACAGGCCAGCTCATCTGATACAGACTTTTTAACAAAAAAAAAAAAACAACTAAACAAACAAACAAAAAAAACCCCACACAAACCAAGCAAACAGAAAGAAGCAATGACAGAGCAAAACAATTGCATCTCTCTAACTATTATTTACAACTACTTCTGTGGGCATTAACAGTCAACCATCTTTCACAGCAAGACAGCAAGTTGGCTTCCCAGCATGTGGAAGCAGAGCTCTGCTGGTAGAGTGGTTACACAGTTCCAGGGAGAGAAAAGGGATCAGCTAACACAACTTGAACTTCCCTCCAACTTTGGTTCTAAGACAGGAGATGATAATGAGATTCAAAATTTTATGGGAATAAACAAAATCCACTTTAAGATTAGCCTGGTAGTTTCTTCTTAGGATGATCCCAGTGGATTGTGTGCAGTAAGTATGGACTTCTCCCCAGAGAGCTCAAGATCCTGCGGAGTCTTTTCTTTGCCTTTTTAACAAGAAAAGAAGGATGATTCATTTCCAGGAAGGGTAAGAACTCTGTTGATTATATGCCAATGATACCTAAATCTTAATCTTCTTTGTTTCGTACTTAGAACAGTTTGTTGACTTATTCTAGTGCCTGCCAGAAGAGTGAAAAATGATGTAGCTGAAAGAAGAGAAAAGTGAATTTTTCATACAGCCCTTAAACCTTGCCCATCCCACCTCCTCTACCTCCCGTTTTTGGCACCTTCATTCATACATAATTAATGGCTTAAAGACAAGTATTGTGATGGAAGATGGGTGAATTTAGCTCTCTGAGTAAGAGTTGTGACTGCACCAGCTGACTAGACCATTCTCTGCTGACTTTGGGACAGAGTGGCTGCTGACTCCAAGATGGAGTGGAGAAGGCTAAACCCCACTTAGTCTTTCCCCCTTCCCTTTTTGCAGCTAATCAAGTCCTTTTAGTAACTCACTGAACACTACAGAGAACTTGGGACTGCAGAACAGTGCAGTAATAGTGGTGCTAAGAATGGAGAGTATCAAGTAAAACATGGTGTGGATGCCACAGTTTTCCTCAGTACAGGAGGACTGATCTTAAACATGTACCAGTAAAGCTCCCAAAAGAAACCCTCAATTGCTTAAAGTTATTTGGGTTTATTTAAGTCACACTGAACAAAGGACTAAAAACTGGCAAGCTCAAGCTCTAAGTCAAGGGTTGGGGTGAAGCCCAAAATTTGTCAAACTGCCCAGAAAGCCCATTTAGCCACATCACACCTTCAAAGAACACATGTGGCCTGTACATGAGGGGGGATGAGCCCCAGTGAGGCTCCCAGCAGTGGGACTGAGGTGGCCCTGCACAGCCACCTTCCCCACTACTCTGCCTGGTTATTTTTCATAGAATATATTT